CACTTTTTATGAAATTATTTTTAATATAATTAATAACAAAACCGTGAGTTAAATGGTTTTTATGTTGGTGAGATTTGCAATAAAAGCCTGAGTTACCTTCAGATTCATTTAGATATAATAGATATACTCTATTATATTGTTTACCATCAAGTTTAATTTAAAATTATTTGGAAGTTTTAATGTTGTCGATGGCTTCAATCTCATATTAAAGTCTTTAATAAAACGTTTTAGATTTATAAAGCTGCCTAAAATAAAAATTTACTTGCTAATTGTAGTTCGCATGCGTTTCAATAAAGAATTCGTGTGACAAAAAAGCTTGACTGTGAATATATTGCGATACAGTTCACCACTAAGTTAACGTAAGCCTTACGTGCGAAAACCTCTATTTTTATAACGCCAACTTATGAAATCAATAGAGACAGCGCGATTTTAAACAACAGTTCTTATTGTGAATACACTACTTTTTTGGCTAGTTTTGCACAAATTAGTGATGATATCAAATGATTGGCATGACTGACAGGTGGGTTGTCGTAAAATACTAATTCCATTTATTTGTTAAAAAGTATATTGCATTTTTGTTCGTATTTTTTTTTGTTTCATTAATAGACGGTAGGTATGTCATCACTTTTATCATTTTCACTTATTCGTTCATTCTAAATAATAGATTGATATAATAAAAGGAGTAGGTACTTTCTAAAACTCGATAAATATTATTTCTAATCAATTTCAGCAAGTTAGTTAATCAACATGATTAGGTATCTAATGATAGACTTTTAGACTATAATTGTAACAATTAATAAGCAGGTATGAAGTAGAAATTGCGTGTAGTGCTTTCGTAACGAGTGTAGTACCGGAATTAGATTTAGTTGTGTATACTTAGCTTTTATATAGTATTTTAGTAATTAATTCATAAGTTAGCTGTACAGGCCACAGTAGCGCTGATTGAAGCAGGTAGTTTTGGGTTTAGTTTCTTGAATCGGCCCTGCAAGTTACAGTCTATTTTGAAATCGAGGAGAGAGTCTAGTTTTGTTTGTATATCTATATATTTCTGCCTATTTTTACTATTAAATTCATTACACATTATTCGTTTTTGGATTCACCGATTCCAATCTTATAGGAGTAATATATATTTCAGGCTTATATACGTAGATTAACCTTAGCTTTTGACACTTTAAAACAGTCGCAGATAATAGGCAGGGAGCTCANTGACTCGGGCTATTTGAAAATTTGACCGAAAATAAATATCAACTATGGTAAAAATATGATTAAAAGTAAAAAAAATCTGCCGCTCCGTTTTTAGGTTCTGTTACAGCCAAATAATCGGGAAATACTACTGGCAGAAATTTTAGATCAATTACACATCTCCAAGCTACATCCAAAGGGGTGGATTTATGAAATGATCGTGTGAGTGCATTTGGACTCATTTGCTTTAGCATTTGAATTTGGACTTTTAACAAGGAAAATTATTATTATAACGATTTACTACAAATAAGGTCAGAAGGTACCATCCGTTAAAAATACATTTGATAGAAAAACTTAATGAAGACGATTTTGACCGCCGTCTACAATCTCGAGAAATTATGATTGACCAGTAACGGTATTGCCAATCGCCACAATTGTAAATCACGTAAAATTTAATCAGTAAATGAGCATTATCAAAGTTCAGCTGATGTAAGTAAGCTTATCAAAAGTCAAACAAGTTTCCAAAAGTTTCACGTAACATATTTGCCGAAATCACGAAGGATGTACGACATGTGAATTTTCATCGCACCAACAGTGCGATTGACAACATTAAAAGGATAAATAAAACTTTTACAGGCGTATTAAGGACACAAAAGAAAAAATTTACGTTATGTAAACATTAATGCGTAAATTAATATCCTCTGGATAAGTAATTCAGACTCTAGAAATTCACACATTGGTCAATGCAATAATACTATTCTGCAGTAACCTATAACAGAGCCGGGCATACCTTAACTTCTTGGGAGCCGCTACCTGAGGTTAGTTTGAGTCACTCCATACCCTTCAATGAGTACGAGAGAGTAAGCAATACTGACTCAAATTGCTTTCTCTTTTTCTTCTCCCTTCCACTCCCATATTAAGCCCCTTCATCCCGTAGACGACCGAAGCCTCTCTCGCAACTTAAAAAATACCTATGAAAATTTTCGTTACTACATTTGCAATTCCATTGGGTTTGGCTATGGAAGAGGTTACTCACCTACGAAATGGAAGGGATAAGAAAAGAAAAGAATCATCTCACTCGCACTCGCAGGATCAATGAGGAGCTCCTTAGCTATACCTGAGGAGCTCTCGGGAGTCAAAAAAGCCGAGTTTGCCTGGCTCTGACCTATGACACTGCCACATTGACCGACTTCTAATAACATTGACTTCGATTGACTTCGACATAAATAATACAAGCCTACAACGTTAAAAAAAAACAAAGAACTACTCTAGGCTGACTGTAAATATAAACATCATCAATCACTCTTATTAATCTCATCTACCAAGTAAGAAACAATTCATGAGTGCAAAAATACAAAAGAAATGCAACGTGCATGCTGTTTAATACAGATAAAGACATAGTTTAATTGGTCTATTGAACCACCATAATTATTTTCGTACAATGTGCTTTCATCAGGTGGATAAGTAATGGGAAGTAATATTACATTAATTCAAAATTTATTTTAGGTTTAGTCAACCAAATGTCAAACCCCAATTGGAAAAGCTAATGGGGACGAAAGTAATTTCTTTAACAGACAGATCGTTTATGATAAAGTTACAGGAGCGGGTTTTAGAAGAATATAAAGCTAATATGGAGCAAAGAATTGCTAATCGGAAGGTAGGTATATGTTTCAGTAATTCTTCTTGCATACATATATATATATCAATTATCTATAAATATAAAATTTAATTTTTTCATATGCGTGGTTTACCATCTTTATAAGCACGTATAATCATTAATTCGTACACTGCAACTTTTGAAATGACAGGGTTCGAAGGGATTATTGAAAGGTACGACGGTCTGAGCAGACGCGGGGAACCCCAAATGGGTATGTCCCAGAATATTATTTCAGATTTTAATCCACTAATACATACTTTAAGAGATTGGTTGCATTCTGTTGACGAATTTACTAACATGTTATTTGTGTTAAAGAAACTGAAGGGCCCTGCAGAGTTTTGGTACAGAGGGCTACCCACGAGAATGATTACGTGGTCAGAATGGAAAGATCTGTTGCAAGCAAATTTTAGGCAAAAACGCGGTTTACATAACTCCCTAATAGCTATGATGAATTGTAACCCAAAATCACATCAAAGATTGTATGAGTATCTTTTTGAAAAACTGGCTTTGATACATAAATTAAACCTTCCCTTATCCGGCGAAGGCCAAGTAAATGTGATCATGTGAGGTGCCAGCAATACAAATATTAAATTCTTGGTAGAAACGGCACAAATAAAAGACCCAACTATTTTGGCACAACATTTCCAAACTCTAGAAAATAAGTCGATGCCTGAAGAGTTAGGTAACAACGTTAATGTTGACCCATATAGCTCACGAAAAAGACAACATGCTTCAAACATACAATGTTTCCTCTGTAAAAAAAGAGGTCATGCCCGTAAAGATAGTCCTCAAGGCAAAGAAAATCGTAAACGTGTAGTAGTGATTTACAATTAACCTCTTACATATAAAAGTAAAATAGAGATACTAGTATGCAAGGGAAGAATAAGTAAGGAAAGAGCGAACATAAAGATAGAAGACCAAAAATTAGAAGAAGTGGCTGATTTGCAGTATTTAGGAAGTAAGATAGGTCAGAACAGAAGGAGTAGTACGGATGTAAAGCAGATGACAGCGCATGGTCGTGTCGCCTTCAATAAAAAGTCACTTCTATTCTAGCGAACGGTTAATTTGGAAATTCGAAAAAGATTGTTAGAGGTGTATGTTGGAAGCGTGGCAGTATACCGGTGCGAAACATGGACGGTGGGCGCGGTGGAAAGGAAAGGTTAGAAGCGAGGACAGAGAAGGTTAGAAATGAAGAGGTATTAGAAAGAATAGAAGAACAGAGGACTCTATGGAAGTCAATAGGACACCTTCTCAGACATGATGGTCTAGTCTGAGGCATATTAGAGGCAGAAACAGGAGTTAAGAGGAGTAGAAGTAGACCTAGATTAGATTACTCTCCGCAAATAGTTAAAGATGTGGGATATTCCAGATTTAGGGAAATGCGAAAATTAGCTCAGGATAGGAAAGAGTGAAGGTGCATGTCTAACCAGTTTTAGGACTGACGAACTCATGTTAATGATTTGTAGTTTTAGTAAATTGAAAACACAGGATCAAATTAAGAGTGGTTCTTGTTATTACTATTAAGTTACTGTGCATGTATTGACCTAATAGCTTTGATCGATAGGCGATTCATTGGTTTGCTTCTAGTTTGATCTTTTTGTGTTATTTAGACATATGCCAAGGCTGTAATATTTCATAAACTATTCTTTTACTACTCTTCCGTCTTTGTTTGGTCAATTTCTTACCGACCACCATCCACCCATTCCACGTTAGAGAAAATGAAGGCTGAAAAGGCTCTTCAACCCTACTCTCCAGGTTTGCGCTAAAATGTATATGCTAAAAAGAATTCCTACCTGCAAACAGTAGTAGCTGGTGGGAATAAGACATGCAATTGTTTTTTGCCATATGTATTTCATACGTCTACGAAAAATGCTTAATTAGCTAAAGGCTAAAGAAATGTTGAGTAGGTGATTCGCTGTGAACACGTTGTTCTGTATGATTACATAACTACCAGAGATTCGTTGTGATCAATGAGTGCTGATTAATGATTATACAGAAAGCTTCGCCATCATCTGTTGCGTACGCTTTTTATTTTTTAACACTACCTGGAGCCTTTAAGGCTACAATTATGCTAAAACTTAGGACGTCCTTAAAAGGCGAAATAAATAAGTGTACTAATTGTAAGTTCAACAAAAATTATTGCAAGAAGTGCGTTTTCTTATTGTCATTGTTTGAATTTTTATGTGTCATTAAAAACTAATTGTTTTAAGTTTTATAATACTATTTTTGGCTGTCGTATCATGTAGAGATGTTGGAGTGATACAGAGAAGATTAGCATGACTTTTGAGTGTTTAAAAAAAGCATGTTTGGAAAATTTAATATATTTACTTTTCATATTTTTTTTGAACAATATAAAAATATTTTAGCAACAAACTGTGACTTAATCCACGGTGGAAGGCGCATATTTATCTAAAGGTAATGTAATCGGCCGAGGAACAGCAATCACGATAAGATATCCTTCTATTAAAAAAATAAATAATTATTGAAAGGGTTTAAAATTGACACACATGGAATTTAAAAATATTTCACTTTTATTGGATGTTGTAAAATAGAAACACCCAGTGAAAGTTGAATCTAACATAGAAAAGGCATTAGTTATTTTCTAAAAAGTTTTCTTTTGTATGCTAGATAGTTAGCATTTAAATTTTTTTTTAATTTGTAGAAACAAGAGTTAGAGAGAATAAAAGGATTAGTACTAGTAGGAATTATACCAACTTCTCACGCTCCATCTCAAATGGCTAACCATCCAGTGGTGGTGATAGAGCAATACTGTAATAAACTGGTCAAAGGAAAGCGGAAAAAGGTAGGCTAATAAAGCAAAGGAAAATGAAAAAATGCTTAAGCATCTTATAACCGTACAAGAATGCACATAGAAACCAATGCAATTTTTTTTAACTGTTGTTTTATGGCGTTACATGTACAATATCAGCAAATAAATAAAATTTATAAAATAAATTAATTTGCACTTTAAGATTCCTAAAACAAAACCTCGATGATATTAATTCATAATAAACTTATAAGGACAATTTATAAAAACTTTTTTTGAAGTCAGTTGCGTCAAGTCGATCAAAACGTTCATAAGGTGCCT